CAGGACTGTCACCTGAGTGGCTTGGGAGAACATCCTCCTCACCCACTCTGCCCTGCAGTCATGACCAGCTTTGTCTTTCCTGTGCCCGAAGCTGTGTGGTCCCCTTTCCCCCTGAGACACATTTCCTCTCCTTGTTTGCAGGTTGCCTATGGGACCACAGAGAACAGCCCTGTCACCTTCATGGGGTTCCCCAATGACAGCATCGACCAGAAAACTGAGACAGTGGGATACATCATTCCCCACACTGAGGTGACCATGACCTTTCCCGTGTGCTCCAGGTGCTCTGCCAGCAGCAGACCTCACTCCATCCTCCCTGTCTGGTGCTGATGTCCAGCTAAGCCCTTCTTCTCTTCCAGGCAAAAATTGCGGATCCAGAAACAGGGCAGTCTGTGCCTCTGAACACTCCTGGGGAGCTTCAGATCCGTGGCTACTGTGTCATGCTGGGCTACTGGAACGACCCTGTCAAGACAAGTGAAGTGATCACTGCTGAGAGGTGGTACAAGACAGGGTGAGCCTGAGAACTTCTCCCAGATGGTCCCACTGGGTGGCACTGGATGAGGATGCATGGGTGTGTGTAGGAGTGCTTGGCTGGGATTTCCAAAGTAGAGAAAACTGTCCCAGCTTATCCCTCTGATCTGTCTGTGACACTTCAGAACTGCTTTTAGCACAGAGCCCTTGGTGCTGGGTGTCCCTGGAGAGGGGATTGTCACTGGCCACTTGTGCATGGAGGGATTGTGGGGTACAGGGCAGGGCCAGCCACTGCCTCTCCCCTAAACCCTGGAACTTGTGTGGATGTTGCCAGTTTCTGTAACAGGAGCTCTTTGATCTCCTCCATGTGCTCAGGTGGCATCTCAGCCATTGTCCTCTGATACCACCCTGGCTGGGTGGGAGCATCAGCCATTCTCCACCCAGCTGGGACAGGACTAGAAGGGTGTTGTCATTGCAGGGACATCGGGATCCTGAATGAGCATGGCTACTGTAAAATTATAGGGCGTTGCAAGGACATGATTATTCGGGGAGGAGAAAACATCTATCCAGCAGAACTTGAGCAGTTCCTCCACACCCATCCCAAGGTTGAGGAGGTCCAGGTGAGTGGGAGGAGGTGGGGTGGGTGAGAATCTGTTTCTGGGAATCCTGTACATAAAGCTTCTGGGATTGCTGCTTGGAACCTGGTTGTCTTTCCCTGTTTTGAGCATCAAATTCCATGTAATATTGGTAGGCAAGGAGGAGGGAGAGGCTCATGGGATGGAAGGGGCACGGGGCATATGGATTGTGGCAACCCCTTTGTGTTCCAGCTGCATATCTGCAAAGTGCTTGTCATTTTTCAGTTTTAAACTGCCTATCCACTTTCAATACTCCCTCTGAAATTCTTACTCAGAAAGCAGTCTGGAAGGTCAGGTTTTACTGATAATTGCTCAACTCTGACATCCAGGAGGACTCTTCCAACAAGCAAGCCCCTGGAGATGAGGAGTGAGACTTAGTTTCACTCCTCTGCAAGACAGCAAAGATTTCCAGGACTGAGCAGCTGCTCCCTGTCTGCTGGGATTGTTCTCCTTCAGGTTTTGTGCCAGACAAGTTTCCCCGTAAATAAACTGCTTATTTAGTCAGAGTTCTGCCTGTGCCAGGCGATCATCTCTCCTTGGAACACTCCCAGTGCAGATGGGTTGCAAACCAGCCCTGTTTATGTGGTTTCTAGGGCTTTATGTCACTGCTCTGGACTCAAAAGGATCAACGTGTCTCTAGCAGTTGGAGATAGTGGTTCAAGGCAGGGAATGACAGTAGGATTCTTGTGGAATAGTGGGAGCAAACTTTGGAGAGAGCTCAGGCTTGGGAAGCCCATTTCCTGGTGTCACAGGCAGAGGCCCACTAAGATCTGTGATTATAGGGGTTTTAAATAATCCTTTAATTCAACCTCATCCCTCCCCTGCAATTCCATCTGGAGATCCTGAAGCACTCGTGGCAGCCTACCAAGTCTCCTTGTTGTTTGTGAAACCTCTTGCCCCATTTTTTGGAAGCAGAGGGATGATGACAGGTCCATGCTGGATCCACAACGCTCCAGCATCCTGTGGTATGGGGTCAGGAAACACACCATGGGCCAGCACACAGACCCTGGGGGAGGCCAGGGGCATCCCCAAGGGTCACACTGTCTGTCCTGAGCAGGTGGTTGGTGTGAAGGATTCAAAGATGGGAGAAGAGATCTGTGCCTGCATCCGACTGCGGGCTGGGCAGGACTGCACCAAGGAAGAGATTAAAGCTTTCTGCAAAGGGAAGGTGGGTTCCCAGGCCTCAGTTTCCTTCCTGATCAGTACACCCAGTGGCTGCTGGGGTTTAGAGTACTGGGGGACCCAGCCCTGGCAGTGCCAGGCTGTTCCTTTCAGGTGGTGTAGCCCGTTTTTCTCTTGCCAGATCTCTCATTTCAAGATCCCACGTTATGTTGTGTTTGTGAGCCAGTACCCACTCACTGTCTCAGGCAAGGTAAGAGGGGGCTGGGGCAGGGCAGGAGCCCTGGCATTCTGTCCCAGCTCTTCTCTGAGTCTCTCTCCCTGCTCTCTTCCCTCTATTCCAGATTCAGAAATACAAGTTGAAGGAGCAGATGGAGAAGCACTTGCAGCTCTGAGATTGGGAAGGCAGAGCAAAAAGCAGGATAAATCAGCCCCATTTCAGTCAGCTCTGAGTCTGGTTTTCACCTGTGCCTTGGGCTACGCAGTGGAGACTTTCCCTGCCTGACATCAGGCTGATGGCACTTCTAGTCAATAAAACAAAGCGCCTTTCTTTTCCAGTTGGGTTTGTTTCTTTGCCAACAGAAATACTGTGGTGTGAGGAAGGGATGCTTATTTCTGGAATTTCGTTCAGTTCCTGAAAGACTTTATGAAGGTTTAAAAGTGTTGTGTGTCTCTGAGCAGCTTGGCTGCAGCCATTTCACAGGAGCTGAACATGTGCTGGTGGGTATTTCACTGACACTCTTTAAGTCCAAATGCCATGGCCTGGCTTCCCAGGATAGGTGATGCCTTTTCTCCTTGGATGTTGTGAGACTCCTGGGTCATTTAAGAGCAACTGAACTTGAAATGAGGGGCAGGGGTTTCAGAGAATGAGACTTTGCATTGGGGCTCTCTAAAACTAGCTGGAAAAGCTCACTCTGTTCCCACACCTCCCCCAACTGTTTCCCCAAAAAAAAACCTTCTCCAAGGTAGACATGGCTTTGTTTATTTTGTTGTTTTGGACAAGACAGAGAGTAAGGTTGTTGCAGAAATACCAAAATTCCTGTCCCATCGGCAGAGTGTACCTGGGACAGCATTTTACGGGAGTTATTTGGTACCTCCCAACCATGAAACACTCCTGTGAGAAGAGCGATGGCAGAGCTCCTCTTTGCCACCAGAAGTGTCCCACCCCAGCTGGAAAGCAGATAATGTTGGTGCCAACCCTTGGTGACCTCCTGCTGCCTCCCTCCTGCTTCTTTTCCGAGCAGAGCCGAGGCTGGGCCCCCTCCATGCTCTGGCTTCCTCCAGTGGGTGGAGGGCAGTGGTGAGAAAGAAGAAGTCAGGAGGTCTCAATCCTTCATCTCACAGCTGGGCTGTGGGCTCTACCCATGGAAGCAGACGTCAGGGCCTTGTCCCCTGTACACGTCTGCACTGTGAAAGACAAAAACAAGGATGGTTTGTGTCAGACTCCTTCTGTACACTGCCTTTCCAGCAAGTTCCTCTCCTGTTGTGCTGAAACCAACCCACACTGCTTGTGGGGTTGGTTTCAGCACCAATCCTTGCACATTTCACTCAGGTCTCCTCCCTTCCCTGGTTACCTCTGTCACCTTCCTTCCTGAGGGAAGAACTGTTACCTGTGTGACAGCAGCTGCAGCCAGGGACCTTGGGGACAAAGAGGGCCTCTGTGACTGATGTCTAGGGAAGGACTGTTTCCTTTTTTTGCTTTCCACAGCACTAACCCAGGTGCAGGACAGGCCTGCAGCGAGTGGAGCTTCTCCTCCCCTCCCTGATCAGTATTTCCACCCTTGGCACAACCCATGCCCTGCCCACAGGTGCCCCATGTACTCACTGTAGACGGGGGGCAGTGGGTAAGAAATGACACCAGCCCTGGCTGGCGAGGACAGACAAAGAAAGCCAGTGGGTCCTGGTCACAGCCAGCACAGGGGAACAGTCCCTGCCACCCCACTCCTGCTCCTGTTCTGGGAGCATCCATGGGCATGAGCCCTGGTCCCAAGGAAGCCTTCCCTACCATCCCATGCCTTCCCCAGAGCACATCCAGCCCTCGCCAGCCAGGACACCTTCCGCAGTACCCTCTGCCCCTTCCCAGCCCCTGGAATGATGCACCCCGGCTGTAAATACTCACGGGAGAGGCAGAGCTGGCCATTTTGTCTGCCAGTGCGGTCTCGGTGTGTGCAGCGCTCCAGGCTCGCTCTGTGGCTTCTGCCCTGCCCGTGCCCGAGTTCCACTCTTATAGTGCTCGCTGCCTGCTCGGAATCCCCCCGGAGAGGGAAGGTTACATCACGGGTGGTTTACACCGAACTACGCACTTCTGGCCTGGGAACGGGAACCTGCAGTCCCAGCCTTTGTCATGGGCGTTTCAGAGTTCTATTAATAGTCACGAGGCTCGTCAGCTGCGGCTTCGCACGACCCTGAGTGGGGACAAGCATCCTTCCTCCGCCGAAACTCCGGAAAACCCTTCCCGGCCGCGAGGAGCAGCCGGGGAAGGATGCGGGGGCAGGTCCCAAAAACCTCATTCGGACAGGGCGTCTGAGGAGGACACCGCGGGAGGACACCGGGCGAGGACACCGCGGGAGGACACCGGGCGAGGACACCGGGCGAGGACACCGGCCATGGCATCCCCAGCAGCGGGAGAGGACACTGACTCCCGCATTCCCAGCTCCGAGGGAGCACTGACCGCAGCACCGGCATCATTCACAGCGATCATCCCGCACCCAGCCCCGCCGGGAGGGCAGGACCTTGTCCCCGATCCCTCCCCCGATCCCTCCCCCGGGCCGGCCCCGCTCGGTGCCGCCGGGGCCATGGCGGCGGCGCGGGGCTGGCCGCGGGCGCTGGCGAGTGTCGCTGCGGCGCTGCCCGGCGCGGCACCGGGAGCGGCCCCCGACACGGCCGCGCTCTACGTGCACGTGAGCGGGGACAGACCCCGGGCTGTGTGTGTGTGTGTGTGCGGGGGGAGTCACGGGTGGGCACACGTGGGGACACACGGGGCGTCCTGGGGCGTGTACACCTCGAGGGGCACGAGGCTGGCACAGGCGGAAGGTGGATGTGGCTCCTCGGGGCTCGCAGATGTGGGTGCATGTGGAACCCCCGGGGGCTTACAGACATCGTGGGGAGCCCAGCCTTGAACATGTGGGGCTAGAACTGAGGGGTCCCCGAGCCCATGAGGGTGACACCTGTGGGGCGCACTGGGGTCCATGCACTGGGCTGGGGGTGTTCCCCTCAAAACTGAGCGGCTGGGGGTGAGGGCATGGGCATCCTGGGGCATGTACACCTCGAGGGGCACGAGGCTGGCACAGGCGGAAGGTGGATGTGGCTCCTCGGGGCTCGCAGACATGTGGGTGCATGTGGAACCCCCGGGGGCTTACAGACATCGTGGGGATCCCAGCCTTGAACATGTGGGGCTAGAACTGAGGGGTCCCCGAGCCCATGAGGGTGACACCTGTGGGGCGCACTGGGGTCCATGCACTGGGCTGGGGGTGTTCCCCTCAAAACTGAGCGGCTGGGGGTGAGGGCATGGGCATCCTGGGGCATGTACACCTCGAGGGGCACGAGGCTGGCACAGGCGGAAGGTGGATGTGGCTCCTCGGGGCTCGCAGACATGTGGGTGCATGTGGAACCCCCGGGGGCTTACAGACATCGTGGGGATCCCAGCTTTGAACATGTCATGGGGCTAGAACTGAGGGGTCCCCGAGCCCATGAGGGTCACACCTGTGGGACGTGTGGGGCGCACTGAGGTCCATGCACTGGGCTGGGGGTGTTCCCCTCAAAACTGAGCAGCTGGGGGTGAGGGCATGGCCCCCCACACTGCCCCTGCCCACAGTGGCCCTACTGCCGCAAGCGCTGCTCCTACTGCAGCTTCAACACGTACGTGGTGCCGGCCGTGGACGAGGCGGCCGTGCGCGCCTGCCTGGTGCGGGAGGCGCAGACCCTGCTCCGCCTCAGCCAGGTGCACAGGTGGGTGTTCGGGGTGGGCTCATGGGCAGCGCTGGGCCCTTCCGTGCCCACCCGCAGCTCTACACCCTCTGCCCTGCAGCGTCACCTCCGTCTTCTTCGGCGGGGGCACCCCCAGCCTGGCCAGCCCCGGCACTGTGGCGGCGGTGTTGGAGGCTGTGGCGAGGGCTGCCCGCCTTCCTGCTGGTGCCGAGGTCACGCTGGAGGCCAACCCCAGCTCCGCCAGCGCTTCTCGCCTTGCCGGCTTCAGGGCAGCCGGGGTCAACCGCCTCTCCATCGGCGTCCAGGTGAGAGGGGCTGTCCCCTCCGCAGCCGCCGCAGCCCCCCGTCACCCCAGGGTCACCGTGCTCCCTCCGCAGTCGCTGGATGACGCCGAGCTGAGGATGCTGGGCCGGGAGCACACGGCGGCAGAGGCACGGAAGGCTGTGGAAGCAGCTCGGGGGCTCTTCCCTGGCCGAACCTCCATCGACCTCCTGTTTGGGCTGCCGGGACAGAGCGGGGACGCCTGGGCCCAGCGGCTGGAGGCGGCCCTGAGGCTCTGTGACGACCACATCTCGCTGTACCAGCTGACGCTGGAGCGGGGCACGGCGCTGGCAGCCCAGGTCAGGGACGGGGCCCTGCCCGCACCCCCCCAGGATCTGCTGGCTGACATGTACCACACTGCCCGGAATGTGCTGGAGGCCACCGGCTTCCGCCACTATGAGGTCTCCAATTTTGCACGGAAGGTGGGACGCCCCCCATGCTGTGTCCCGCAATGTTATGCTGGTCCCCCAGCAGGCTCAGCTGCTCCCCTCACCTCAGGACTCTTCCCCCAGGGCGCCCTCAGCACCCACAACCTCTCATACTGGCGGGCTGAGCAGTACATCGGTGTGGGGCCAGGTGAGGGGGTGATGGAGGGCCAGTGTGGGGGGAATGTGTGGCCACGTGCCCTGTGAGCTCCCTTGTCCCCATACCTGGCTGCTGCAGGGGCACACGGGCGCTTTGTGCTGCGAGGTGAGGGCGGCTGTCACCGGGAAGCCCGTGTGCAGACCCTGGAGCCTGTCGCCTGGATGCGGGAGGTGCAGAGCCAGGGACACGGCACCAGGAGTCGGGCGGTGCTGAGCCCGCTGGAGCAGTGAGTGCTGGGGTCCCCCCCGTGCCCCCTCCCTGTCTGTGCTGCCCCACAGCTCTGTGTGTCCCCACAGGCTGGAGGAGCTGCTCACCCTGGGACTGCGCACGGATGAAGGCGTCACGCACGAGGTGAGGAGCCACCCCACATCGACCCAGCGCTAATCATGGAATGGTTTGGGTTGGGTGGCACCTTAAAGCCCATCTCCTTCCACCTCCTGCCGTGGGCAGGGACACCTTCCCCTAGAGCAGGTTGCTCTGAGCCCTGTCAAACCTGGCCTTGAACATTTCTGGGATGTGGCATCCACAGCTTCTCTGGGCAACCTGTGTCAGGGCCTCACCACCCTCACAGCAGAATTTCTTCCCAAATCTGCCCTTTCCATCCATCCCTTTTCCTGTCACTCCATTCCCTTCTCCAAAGCCCCTCCTCAGCTCTCCTGCAGCCCCTTTGGGTACTGGGATGTGGATTCCCCATCACTAATATCCTTCTCTTGCCCCGTGCACGCAGCGCTGGGGGCACTTCTCCCCCCAGCTCAGCCTGCAGGCCGTGTTCGGGGAGCCGGGGGAGGCTCGGGCACTGCAGCAGCAGGGCTGGCTCGTCCTGGACAGCGGGTGAGCCGCGGGGAGCCGTGCAGGGCCGGGGGGCTCCCTGGGGCGCCGGGTCTCACCATCGCCTCTCTCGCAGCGGCCTGCGGTGCAGCTGGGCCGGCCTGGCCGTGCTGGACTCGCTGCTGCCCGACCTGCTCTGCCAGCTGCAGCGGGCACTGGGCACTGCCCAGGGGCACCCCGGCGGAGGAGCGAGCCTTGGCGGGGGCGCGAGGGCTCCAGGCAGCCACAACGGATAATAATGGACAATAAACCACAGGAGCAGTGTGCTGGCAGTGTGCTGGGGCAGGGGCACTGGCCATGCTGGACTCGCTGCTGCCCAACCTGCTCCGCCAGCTGCAGCGGGCACTGGGCACTGCCCAGGGCCCACCCAGGGGCGCCCCGGCGGAGGAGCGAGCCTTGGCGGGGGCGCGAGGGCTCCAGGCAGCCACAACGGATAATAATGGACAATAAACCACAGGAGCAGTTAATAATGGCAGGGGCACTGGCCGTGCTGGACTCGCTGCTGCCCGACCTGCTCTGCCAGCTGCAGCGGGCACTGGGCACTGCCCAGGGCCCACCCAGGGGCGCCCCGGCGGAGGAGCGAGCCTTGGCGGGGGCGCGAGGGCTGCGAGCGGCCGCAATGGATAATAATGGATAATAATGGATAATAATGGACAATAAACCACAGGAGCAGTGTGCTGGCAGTGTGCTGGACCTTCCACGCTGGCCGGCGGGAGGGGTTACTGCACGGTAGGCCCCTGTAGCGCGGTGTTCCGGGTGTCCTGAGGCCCGGTGTTCCTAGTCGCCCAGAGTTCCGTGTGCCCAATATCCCGAAGTCTCCCGATGTCCTCCATGTCCCGGTATCCCGGGTTTGTCCCCGCAGCAATTCGGCGCATGCGCATGGCGCGCCCCGCCCGGGGGAGCGGTGCCGCGGAGCGCCGGCAGGGGGCGCTGCGCTGCGGGCCCGCGCGGCCTGTGGGGCCTGTCGGGCCTGTGGGGTCTGTCGTGGCCCTGTCGCTCTGTGTCGTTCCCTGTCGCTTTCTGTCGCGACCTGCGGTGGGGCCGGTGGCACGGACATGGCGGCGCGGCGGGGGAGTCGGTCTCGGAACCGGACTCTTCCTGGTACGGCCGGGAGCAGGGCGCGGCTCGGCAGCGGGCGGCCCAGGCCGGGCCGGGCCGGGTGTGAGGCCTCGGCGGGGCCGCGGTTGAAGCGGCCGGGACCAGCCCCTTCCCCAGCCAGTGACCTCCTGTCGTTACTGTGATTTGTTGTTTATAAAAGCAGCAGGTTCCAGCGGGAGGGGCCCGCAGGTTGAGGGGAGCAGTCCCTGGTGGGATCCCCTGAGCTCGGCCTGCCCGCAGGTGCCGGCGGAGCTGCCCCACGTCCGGCTCTGCCCGGTTTGCTGTTTCAGAGCCCGGGTTTGCTGTTTCAGAGCTGTCATGCCACTGAGCAGCTTTTTAAACCCGGTTCTTTGTTATCCGAGTCGTGCAGGGTGAGCGCAGGCAATCCGTGTGCTTGTACTTGCAGCTGGAGCTGGAAACTTTCCAGGAATGTGTTGTTCCACCTGCAGGGATCTGTATTTATTTGCATTTATCTTACCGTTGTCTTTCATCTGAATAAAGTGAGACAGTTCGCTCTTACTTGACCCACTTTGGTCTTTGCAGCTTCTCAGTGGTTCATTCTTTCAATTACAAGAAATGCTGAATTTAATTGTTCGTTGCAACCTTAAACAGAAATAATCCCAAAGCATAATTCAGCTGGAAATCATTAACCAGCCTGAGAGGAATATGGTTCTTCTTGGGAGGCTGAAGAAGTCTCTTCATCTGTTTTTTAGGCAGGAAGGAAAAGTCTTTTGAACGACTCTCTTTAACAATTGAAGAGCCTGAGCCTGAGCCTGAGCCTGTTCCATATGTTCTGCAACAAGAGGACTTCCAGGCACTTGAAATTAAAGTGGAGGACCTGGAGAAAGTATGTATGAGTATTTTTACTGCTAGGAACAGCTGCCTTAGCTGACACTGTCCTTTTGGGTGTTTAACAGAAGGTGCTGCCCGTTTGCTTTAGCCAACACCCACTCCTGCAGCTGAGTTCTCATGCCATTTTGTCTGTCAGGTTTTTTATCATGGTAAGATGTCAGCTCATCAGGTTCAGTTGTAGATGTAAAGGATTAGAAGTGCCTCTACAGTCCTTTCAAATGGAAGGATAAGTCATCTGCATCTTCAAAATTACATCTTCAGCTTTCTGATCTAATAAGACTTGTAAGTTGTTTAGTAGCTCTCATGGCTTTCCTTCCCAAACTCAGATCACAGTGTGTGAGTGGAAGCGTTTGAGTGACACAGCAGCAGAATTCTCTTGTGGAAAGTGATTTTACAACTCTCCTTTTGTGCCCCTGTTATAACCAAGAGGAGTAAGACAGTGACTGCTGTGTAAGGTGTCTTGTAGGGGAAGAATCATAGAAGATTTGTCTTGGAAAGAACCTTAAAACTCACCTATTTCCACCCCTCTGCCATGGGCAGGGACACCTTCCACTATCCCAGGTTGTTCCAATCCCCATCCAGCCTGGCCTTGGACACTCCAGGGATGGGACAGCCACAGCTTCTCTGTGCCAGGGCCTCTCTACCTTCACAGGGAAGAATTTTTCCTATTGTGTAATCTAAACCAACTCTTCTACGTTGAATCCACTCCCATTCCTGTCATTCCATGTGAAAATTCCCTATCCAGGGCTGACAGGACCCTCACAGGAAGTGCACTGACATGACTCCTGTGCATGTTCTGAAGGGATCAGATGGAATCAAGGTCAGTGTGTTCTAACTGCCCTGTGACTCTTCACTTCCTGCAGCTTCATGCTCCACGCCTTGCCTATGGTGCTGGGAGGATTCCAGTTCAGAGGAGTTACCTCGTCCGAAAATACCGACCCAAGGAGGTGGCACACCTCGTGGCACATCCTGTGCCCCCCAAGGCACCCAGAGGACCCCTGACTTTTCCTGGTAGGCTTCAACTTCACCTCTTACCTCTGGGTTTTGGTTTTGCTAAGCCAGACTTTAGTGACCTGGCTCTGGTTGGGTATTTTTATATGTGTGTTGTAGTACCAAGACAGTTTGAGGATGGCTGTGAAGAGATCCTCCCTCATCACATTTTGGGAAGTCTCCAGGAGTTAAAGATGGAAGCCTTGGCCAAAAGGAACACTCAGGTTCATTTGCAGAGTTGGGAAAATGGTGCTGCATAGCACTTTTCCAGGGGTAGAGTGTGGTGTCTGCAGTACCTTTGGATGCTTTCCAGCACCTATCAGGAGCAGGGCAGGCCTGAGGTGTGGTTTTCCCAGCCTCGTCACACTCTGGGGGAGGGTTTGCCTTTGCAGAAACTGCACCAGCAGGTTTTGGAGTCCTGTGTGCAGGACCAGGTCATGGAGGGAACAATTACACAGGCTTCCTCTTCCCTATGTGCCCTGCTGATGGTGTCAGGGAAGAGCTGGTGTTGCAGCAATGCCATTGCTGGAGTCTCATTACTCAGATAAATACTTCCATTGGATCTTAGTGTGTCCCCACTGCCCTGGTTCCCTTCCTCTCAGATTGCTAATGTAACAGTGCTGTCAATCTGAAGAATTCTTCTCTCCTCCCCTCTCCCATTCCTGTTTTGGTGTGCATGGAGAGGTTCATTTAATGTTTCATTTCTCATCAGCTAGCAGATGCTATTAAGGTTCCTCATCCAGATGTTACTGCAGCAGCTTTAGAAGAGGAACATGGGGGAGAGAAGAAAGAAACGTCACATCAGGCCCAACTAGCAGAGCACAAAGCTTTCCAGAACTGGAACCATCATATGGCAATGAGGAAAAAGCAGGAGAAACACCTAGGAGGTGAGAAAAGCTAAGGAGGTCTCATTCTGTGGAATTCTCTGTGCAAGTGGAGGAGTTTGATGTCCCCACCCCAAATGGCAGCAGTCACTGCCCACCAGGGTCACTCCTATTGCCACTGCAGTCTGATTCCATGTTCTCAGAGCTCCCACACTGCTCGTGGTGCTGGCTCTGGCTGTGGTGGGAGGGTGAGCTGGTGGCTGTGGTTGAGGAGAGGAGTGGATTTGGCAGGGAGCAGTGTAAGTGGGTTACAGGTGAACAATTACAGTGGCTAAGGGTGTGCCCAGAAGTGCAGCACCAATGATGTGATGTTTTTATATTTATAGAAATTCTTCACAAGCCAGAGAATGAACTGCTGATGAACATGTCAGACAATTACAGGCAAATCCAGGAAGAACGTGACCTCATTGACCGGAGTCTCCCTGCCCTATTTCCTGGAAAGGTGAGAGCCCCACTTCTCGTGTGTCCTGATTGTGCTGCTCTTGTGACAAAGCACACACACTGTTCTAAGTGAGTCTCTGAAGTGCTGTCAGGAGATGTTTATCAAAGCCACTCTGAATCCCTCAGCTTGGTGTCTGAGCAGAGCTTTCAGGGACATGAAAAATAAAAACCTGAATTGTGCTATCCATACCAGCTAGGGGAAAGTGGTGATGAGCAAGTGGCATTTCTTGATTCTCACCAAAGACTTTTGTGCCCTGGGAAGTGGCACGGGAACATGTCACAATTTCTGTTCCAGGGGCAGAAAGATCTGATAGCTTTAGGCTTGGATTTTAGTGATTGCCATGGAGAAAAGGGCATGGGTGAGGCAGGAGGGTTATGGGAGTATTGTGTTAAAATTATTTTTTCACATTTATAGCACTATGAAAGAATTTGCATTTGTGTGAAGCTTTATTTTAATAACATTCAGCCTTCACGTGCACTAGGTAGAAGAAAGTTCTTTTGTCTTTGACAGCAGCCTGATAGAAATTTTGGCTTCCTCTGCAGAAATGGATAATTCATAGGCTTTTAAAATGCTCATATAGTCAGGGTTAGACCTCTTCTTTTTAGCTTCAGGTGCCTCTGAAAATAGCAGGTAGCTGCACAACAATCCATATACAAGGTAGTATCCACAACAATGAGTGGGAGCCTTGTTTCCCACCCTAGGGATACCGAGTGGGAAGCGAGTTCTGGAGCCTTCCTGAGCAAATTGGGGATGATCTCACCGGGCTGACTCTGACCCTGACCCAGACAGAACGTGGGCACCCAGAGCCACTCACTCATGTGGGGAAACCCCGGACCATCCAGAGGGAAACAGGTAAGGGAACACTGCAGAGAGCTGATTCCAAAGAAATGGGGCACAAGTGTGGAGAAACAGCTCCTTCCCTGTCGAGCCTCCACTTTAATCCACTACAAGGCCAAAGTTTGGCAGAGAATGAAATTTGATGAGGTGTGTGGGTGTGTAGAGAGTGAGCTCTTGTATTGGTACTTCCACAGGTGTGAAGCCTCCAAAGAAGATTCCTTGCCACCTAAACTGGGATAAGAGTCTTTTCCTGAAACATCGACGGCAGGAGCTAAAATCTCTCCTGGAGGAGCTGGGCTTTTATAAGCCAGTAAGACCAGAGGAACAAGGATATTCTTTGTGTCTCTTGTCAGGTGCTGTAGAGTAACAAAATTGTCAGGAGTTGGCTCTGAAAAAAGCATTAGGTAACTAAAACTTGGTCCCACAGTTTTTCGTGGAAGTTCCCACATTTCCAAAGGGCCACACCTATGAAAGAGTTGCCTGACCTCCTAAAGTGCTGCATGGAGTGGTCTAGGGGCCTCAGAAGAGATCCCAAACCAGCAGCATGCAGCTTCCAGGACCTAGGCAAAGAAAAACCTTCCAAGTACTGGTGCAGGACTTTGATTTAGTGCTGTGGGGCAGAGGGAAGAGATCTTTACCCATGTGGAAGACACACTCTGAAATAATCTCCTGAAGGCAGGTGGCCCCTCCTCCTACAAACAGAGCAAACCTCACTTTTTTTGTCTTTGAAACCTGTCTCTGAGGAGGAGAAACGTGTGAAGGACACTTTCTCTGTGCATCATTGCTAGTGGGGGATGCAGTCATCTAGGATTCATGGGAATCTCAGAACTGGTTCTTTCCCATGTTCCTTGAGTGTTCTTCAGATGCCTCTAAAAGCCATTGTAGAAGCAAGATATCACAACTTCACTTTATGTGGCTGAGTTGGTGCATTTGTCTGGTGTTTTAATGTCCTTTCTATGTAAAAGAGCAACTGTGAGTTGGTAATTTCTGTGTATGTCCAGGATCTGGAAGGACTGGAGGTGATTGGGAAAGGGCAGCCTTTCACATCTGTCTCAGCTGAGGCTTTTCTGCATACTGCCATTTCTGAAGAGATTGAGATCCTGTAAGTTCTGCTTCATAGCATTCTTTATGGCAAAATAAAGAGTTTTGGGTGTGCACCACCAGTCTGTGAGGATATCCTTAGCTGTTCTTATCCAGAATGGAGACAAGTCTCCACTAGGACACAATAAAGAGCATATTCTTATATTATTGCCTTTGTGCCTTGGGGCCTTGTGTCTAAGGAGCAAGAATCAGAGAAAAGTTTTGTTAAGGCTCTTCTTCCAGTCTTCACTCTGTGCAGCTTTAGAGCTTAGATCAGGAAGGGTGGGATTCTACTCTCAATTACTTCCATTTGATTGTCTTTTTCTAGCCTTCCATCATTACTTTCCTAGTTTTCCCTGTCCTGCCCATTTGTAACAGGCACAGCCTAAGTGTCTCTTGTCCTTTTTCACTCATGTACTTAGACAGGTCTCATTCTTTAATATTCTGGCTGTCCTGTCCTCCTTGCCAGTGACATGTAGCTAGATGGGTTCACCACATCTGCAGGGCTCTGTCCCTAAAGAGATTACTGTGTGAGAAAATATAAAATGGGGTTATTTCTTACAGGGTTTGTAAATCACCCCTGGTTCTCCCCTCTCTGGAAGTGAATTTCACTCCATGAAAATGCTGGCTTTTGTTTTCTTTAGGAGTGACCCCTTAGGTGACTCCTTCACTGTGGATCCAGAAGCTGAAAAGGTCCCATCTTTAGTTTTCTGTGGCCAGCCTGCTCGTTGGATCAAGGGCATCACTTCTTGCAGGGTAATTGTGAGATTTTTAACTGTTTAGTCAAGCTAAGCCTATTTGAGCTCCCAAGTCACAGTTGTACAATAAGTGTCACTCCAAGGCCAGAGAATGGGGGAATTATTCTGAACCTAGTAGTGTATCCCTATATTTGCTCCAGGGAGATCTAGGAGCAGAAGGGCTCTGGTTGTGGTGTGCAGTTCAGGTTCCTAGGGTTTCTCTGTATAATGGCCACTTTGGACTTGCCTTACAAGTTCTCCTACCAAGGCTCAACCCCTTATTTGAGCTATGATTTCATGCTGTTGTGGTGTGCAGTTCAGGTTCCTAGGCTTTCTCTGTATAATGGCCACTTCTTTGGACTTGCCTTACAAGTTCTCCTACCAAGGCTCAACCCCTTATTTGAGCTATGATTTCATGCAAGATAAATCCTGCCAGATGGAGTAGAAATTGTTATCTTTTTCCTCTTCCTTGTCGAAGGAAATTGGTATTGCTGCCCGGCTCACCTTTGAGACTCTGGCTAGTGAGAAGGCTGAAAGCTTCCTGACAGTGACCAATGATGGCATAGCTTCCATTTGGTACAACTGGATGAGGCTTCCCCAGCAGATCCCCTCCAGAGAAACCAGGGGGAGGAGAGTGCCCTGCTTTTACTTTGATACCAGACCAGGTATGAGAGCTGCTGGTCTCCAAGACCTTTGTACCTCAAACATAGAGCAGGAATTTGGGAGTTGCCTGGGATGTGGAGTCTGACTAATGGCAGAGCACTGCTGGGTGATTTCTCCTGAGGAAGCCAACCTGAGTGTCAGTGCTGACTCACCCCAAAAGAGCTGTGCAAGGCAGATCCCTTTCCTGGAACTTAAAGGAAAGGAGGTTGCTTCTGCTCTGAGTGTAAATGGGTGGAATATTGAGAAGTGAATAATTTTCTGGTGGCAAACGGGTCATAATCTTCTGGAGAGAAAACTGAGCTTGCTGTAGAAGGAGAGTGCAATGAAAATAATGCCAGTTCAGGAACATAGGGGCTGAGAGTAAATCTGGAGGGAGAATGAAGTTGCAAAGCTGGATGAAGTGTGATAACCAGCTAAACTATGGGGAAAGAGTCTCCTAGAGAGATAAGCACACTTGGGGTGGTGTTGGAAAAGGATCAGGCTAACCAGGTGGCTTCTTGCACACCAATGCATTTTCTCTCTTATTTCAGGTGTAATTTTGCCTGGAGAAACTCGGACGTTTTCTTTTATTTTCAAGTCAGAGAGAGCAGGCATTTTCAGTGAGCCCTGGGAATTTAGGACACATCCTCTGTTATTAGGAGGAGCTCTGCTTCAGGTGACCCTTTGGGGAATTGCTGTGTATGAGGATAAATTGGCTGACTTCAGAGAGAAATTGGAGGTAACCAAGCATGTAGCTGGGTAACTGAGCTTTGAACTTTATATGCAAATAGAGGATAAGGGTGGGAGTGGACAACATGGTATTTTTATTGTTGTGCAATCACTGCTGAGAGTGAGATTTACAGAATATCTGCACATACTTGAGCAGGTTTGCTAAATGACATGAGGAACTCTGCAGTCTATTGTAATGTTGTTACTAAAGACATGACTGTGTCTCCTAAAGTGTTCACACTGGTCCTTTAAAGAACTAAATTTCTGTTGGTAATTAATTTCATTATTTACTTAGAGGGAAGGAGATTGACTGCTGTACACTATGATAGCAGTTAAGGTATAAATTGAAAATTACACTGTGCTTTGAAAAGTATAGTTTGGGGGCAGGATTTGTAGAGTTTATTTGAAAAGCTGTTGGAAGTATTGCTCTGCTCAGCGGGGTTTGCAGTTGTTCGTGTCCTTGTAACTCTGTATAATGAATAGTGTGGTTACAGGTGGGATTCAGTTTGTGTGCTTGCATAGGGAATGGGGACTCACACATGTTGTTCTTGTGGTGCCTCAGAATGAGCTGGCTGCTCGAGAAGGAGCTTCTATAGTGAAAGAAAGCCTGAATGAACTTCTTAAACAAGTTCGGACGCCCGAACGCACCCCATCTCCTGTGGATTCCTGTGTCACAGAGGAAGAGCTGTTCCACAGGAAAAATCCCGAGGTGATGCTTGCTATTGGAGGGACTGCACAACTGAAAAAAGTGGGGAGGGCAGACCCATGGGGCTGCTGCATCCCTGGGGTTCTGGAGCTGGCAGAGTCTGCTGTGGGAGCTTTAACAGTTGGGTTTGAAGAGGGAAGGTGCAGCTCATGTTTACCTTTTCCCCCATTGTCACAGTTGCATTATCAACATCAAGTGATAAAGCAGCTGCATAAACTGTGGAGACAGCACCTGACTGTCTTGGAGGAGGAAGTGCCCTTGGACCAGAGGAGCACTGCAGAGGACGTGGAGTACCAGGAGAGCATCTTGGAGCCTCCCTCTGTCCAGAGCACTGAGGAGGAAGAAGCAGGTTCTTCAGGATGGAACCTTTCCATTGAGGACTTTAAACAGGTGGTCACCTCTGTTCCCACAAGCTGATGGTGTGTTAATTCCCCTAAAAACAGCCCAGCGTGCCCCAGTGAGAGCCCACCTAAAGGGCTGCTGCCAATGTGCTGGGAGTTTGTGAGATTTATGATGTGTGCTCTGCTGACCACACCCTCAGTGCTCTTGTAAAGAGATTCCCAAGAGAGGCTTTGTGGGCTGTTGTGTGAAGAAGAAAAGAGAAGCACACAATATAATAGATATTTTAAGCTCTTCCCTTGTTAGCTTTCTGTCATCCCAGGACTGAATGTGGGGGCAGGCTGGGCTTGCAGCCTCCTGTGGCTCCCCCAAGGGCTCTTCTCCTTGGAGAGCCCTTCCTATTCATCAGAGAACTAAGGGGGCACTCATGACAGGCTGTGGATAAAGTACAGACCTCCTTAGATTAAAGCAAGAGTGCGTTGGATTCTGTCAGTGGTTTTTCTGTAGTGTGCTCTTGGAAATCTCTCTGTTGTTTCTACAACTAAGCTTTACTAGGGAGCCTTCTAGCTTGATAGAATCCCTGTTTCCCAGAACACCTGAAGTTGCAAAGGGGCTTAATATCAGTCCAGTGAGGGAATCTGGGTTTGTTCTGCAGATCTTGGGTACCTTGGACATGTCCTAGCTGTGTAGGAAGCCCCGTCTGGGTATTTAAATGCCCAGTGCAGCCTGGTTTCAGACTGGTGTTCAGGAAGAGAGCTGTGGGCTGCTCCACTGGGCTCAGGGACTGGGAATAAGACTGAGAAGTGTTCCACAGCCCCTGTGAATTTTCTCTCACAGGCTATAATGTCAATCTCCGGGAAGGAGCAGCGGGAAGAAGCACTGGCCCAGCTCAATAAGGCAGCTCTGGAGCTGTGTGTTGAACAGAGGCCAACTCAGTCAGACCTTCTGTATCCACTCTGGTGGGTTACCTTTGCAAGGAAAAGCTTGTGAAAAGATTGTGTGATCAACAGCCTCAGCAAGCTCTCTTGCAAGTGTTGTGATTCAGAGTGCACATAATTATATGAGGTCTAGAAGTCATCTTTACACTCTGGTTTTTTATAGCTTAATTGTAGCAGCTGTCTAGGACCCAAATGTCTTTTTTTTTTTTCTTGGAGATAAGTTTAGAATATTAGATGTATGTAATTTTGGAGAGTGTACAAGATTATTTCTGGCAAGATTATTCCAGTCTGTATTTATGAAACCTTTGGGTATTTTCTGTACCCTTTTACTCAGATAACTGTCTCCTCCCTCATACAGTCTCTCTGTTCTTTGCTCAGGCTTTCAGACTGTAAACATATCAACAGCTTTGAGTTGCTCCTAAATTAGAAGGATGCAGGTTCCTCTTGGTAAACACAGAGCAGGTTGATTTACCAACGTGTGTCATGTTGAAGAGCAGACCTAGTTTCACAGTAATGTTTATGGGTTCCTGGGAGCCTGTTGATTTGCAAACCACTGAGACCTCAGAGGGCTCCAACATGAGGAAAGCAATTTAGCATCCCCCTGCACAGATATTCAGGCAGTGGGTGCTGTTCTGTTGGTTTAGTTGCACAGGGCAGCTGTCAGCTATAAGTGCCTTCACTTCTGGGCACAGGGTCCAACAAGGTGGCAGTTGCTGCACTGTCTCCCTTCTGATCCTGACCATTTTCTCAGCCTCCAGCTGTGGCGTGGAGCAATTGATGGCTTGGTGTGTCACTCTCTGAGGCTCAGATCTGTGCTTGGTTTGATTAAGAAGGACATCTATGTAGAAGCTGCTCCAGTGGAAACAGGTAAATGGTAGTTTTAGCACAGCAACTGCTTTCTGTGGGCTGTTGCAGATACAAAAAACATGATGAATTTGAACTGAAATGTCAATTTCAACATGTTTCCCTGAGGAAGAAGCATCAGGAAAAAACCTGGCAGATTGTGTGACAGTAACAATACTAATTGGGATCTGTGGTTTGACACCAGTAAAAAAACATCCCCACAAAAAAGCCTTTTAATTCAGCTAGGTCTAGCCATGGCTTTCACACAGACTGACCCAGCAAATACTGCCTCAATGAGACCTCTTCATTCCTTATTTAAACAAAGAAGTCTTCAAGGTATTGTTTTTCAGTGCAGTACATCTCAGATTAATAAAAAGATGAGAATATACTGCAAAAGTAATATGTTCCCACTGTGCTAGTGCAGTGGGATGGACTTTCTGGATGCGTGGATGCTTTTGGTTAATTGAAATCCTTTCTTTTGTAGAGGAAGTAAAGCAAGGAGGAACAAAAAAAGGAAAGGAAATATTTACTAAGAGAGAAGAGAAAAAGGATAAAGAAGGCAAAAAAAGTAGAGGGACATCAGGGAAGGAGAAAGTGGTAGGTGTTGGGATGTCTGGTGACCTCTGAGTGCTGGGGACAGTGTGATCATCCTGAGGTTGTGTATCCTGAGTTTGAGCTCATTTCCAACCCAGTGAAAGAGGTGCTGCTGCTGGGAGATGGATGTTGAAGCAGTCTGAGCAGTGTCCTGACCTGTGTCCCTTTTTCCCTTGGTCTGTCCCTGATTAGGATCATTCAGGCAGCAGGAAGCTGAAAGCTTCCATTTCTGTGTACGACATGAAAGGGGGAGCAGACTCCATCAAAGGAAGAGGTGAGAAGCAGAAGGTGAAAGAGGAAGCTGCAACTCCAGTTGAGGCAGAACCTGTTCAGGAGCAAGTGGACTCTGTTTTACTTGAAAAATACCGGGAAAAGCTCTACATTGAAGTGAGTCTCACCAAAGCTTGTATCTTTGTCTTGGTTTTGTTCTTTTCTTGTAAGGCACACTGAGGCTTAGGGGGAGAAGCAAATATTTTGTTAAACTCAGAAAACTGGCAGACATATGTCCCTTGTGCTGCAGCAAGGTAAGTGTGAAATCCAAATTAATTTGTTTCAGCCTGGAATCTGTTAGCAGAAATGCAGCCATCACACAGCCACATGCGGCACTTCTATCTGGGATGTCTTTAGCATTGCTTGCAGACTCTGGAGGGATCAGCTGAATTAATTGTACCTTGGATAATGTTAAACACACTTCATAGCCGGGGAAGTTATTACTAGAGCTCTGTCAGCTGCAGGCTCCCACTTCTATGTGGTTGTGTGTGTGCCCATTTGAAAATGTACCTCAAAACCATCTCTGTCAATCTCAGCCTCAGGATTTCTTCACGTATTTTCACTGCAGCTGCTTTTGAATTTCTACAGGTTTACAGTCTGCTGGATTCAATGGTGAGTGAAATGGTGTCTTTATTTGAGGATCTGAAGCAGTAACATGCTCTGAAGTGGGAGTGAAGCCCTTTGTATGCAGAAATAGACTTGCTTAAAAAAAATAAAATAAATAACCATATTTACACAAATGGAGTGGAGATTCTTCTGTCTGAAGTGATTCAGTGGTTACAAATACCGGGCTGCCTCTTTTCTGACACACTGTGATGTGAGACTATTGCTAGATCATCTGTTACTGCTACAGATGATACTTGCCAAGAAGAGACAAGGCAAGAAGTATCACCACTTCAGAAAACATTAAGACTGGAAAATACTGGTATTTCTGCTAAAGGAGAATTTAAAAGTGCCAGTTAACATGAGGTGGATTCTTTGTGTCTTGTGCTTTGCTAGCAGGTGAGTGAGCAGGTTGTACTTGTACTCATGAATACTGGTACCAGGAGAGTAGACAAATCCACCCTGGGTTTTATCATATTTTTGGTGTCTTGTCCAGTCTCTCCTTCGGACTTGCTGACAGGAGGCTTCTCTGAGGCATTCTGGATCCCAGTAAAAACACTGTCCCAAGGGATGTGCCACCCTGCCTGGTTTTGCACTCACAGATTTCCTTCTTGTGCTGATCTTGCCATCTCTTTCCATTGAGCTCCAGGTACCCACGCCCCATTCTGAGCCAGGTTTTACATTCTTCCTTCCAAGACTAATCACTCTTAAATGAGCAAAATTTGTGCTATAAAAGTTGTGAGCCATGCTAAGTCCTCATGTTAGAGCCACCCCTCCTGTCTGTCCATGTGCCTGTGTGTCTGGGCTCATCACCATTTTCCATCTGTGTGCATCACTGCTGGAATGGGGCTTTTTGTGGAGGCATCCCAGGCCTGAGTGTGGCACACTGGACTTGGAGCAGGTTCTGGAGGCAGAGTGAGCTCTGTGTGGGGTCTGTCTTGGCCTGGTGTCACTAAGTGCCACCTTCCTGCTAAAGTGGCTGGACAGCATTCCCCAGAAAGGCTTTGGCCCTGCAGAGCAGTGACATCAGTGTAGATCATTAATTGGGGATGGTGATCCCACTGGAGCTGTTAAGCAGCAGATGCCTATCCATGCTCAGCATAGCTCAGCCATGAGCTCAGTGGCTCCAGGTGTGCCCCTTGGGCACTGGCCCTGTCCTGGGCTGGCTTGCAGCTGCACATGCACAGTGAAATGACTGCTCCTTCTGCTGAATTGGTGTCTTCTGCTTTCTCATTTTAACTCCTGTGCTGTCCCTGGGGAGAGGATCTGTTTCTCCCCTTGGCTCCAAGCAATACCAAGGCAAAGCACAGTTTGTTCTTTTCACTGGCCAGGTGAGGCTCCTCATCTTTTGAGTTGTTTTCTCATAGTGGGGTGTGGGGAAGCATTTTGGCTTCTGTAGCAGCAGGAGCCTCCTCTGGCTCAGTGGGCACAGACCCACAAAGGGAATGTCTCTGCTCAGCATTCCTGGAGTGAGAATTTCAGCAACATTTTGAGAATTAGGAGGAAAAAGGCCTGAAGTTGGGGTGTGTCTCACAGGCTCTGACAATAGCTCCTGCCTCCCTGGAGATGATTATCAGCGTTGTGAATTTGCCCAACTCAAACTGCTCAAGCCATCTGTTTCTAGGAGAGAGGGAGTCTGCATGTTCTAGAGGCAACGTGATTGTCAGAGAGGCAGGAATCCTTTCATTTGGTCGTTTTACCTTAAAGGATGGCAAAGCCCATCCATGTCTCCATGGATCCATATCTTCAGTCTATTGAAACCAGGCTCCATGTGTTCATCTGCCCACAGGAAAATCTGTTAATACAACACGGGGTAGATGAAAGTTTTACATCAGTCACGTACAATGGAAGAATGTCCTGTGCTGGCATCTTCCCTGCCAGGGAGGAGACTGGTAGCAGAGGGCAGGTGGGCGGCATAGAAGTTCTGCAAAGGAGAACAAACCTGTGAACAGTCGAATTTCTTGTCATAATTTTTTGTCATAAATATTGCCAGTGCCTCTTCCTTGGACAAGAGTGTCCTCAGGGGACAAGGTACAAGGAGCATGCAGGAAGGGATGTGCTGGGCCAGCAACTGTGGTACTCTGCTGTCTGGCTGCTGCAGCTTTTTGTGAGCCAGCTGCCTTTTTCTTTTTTTTTTTTTCCTTTTGCATTGATTTGTGGAAGTAACAGAACAGGAACTGCAGTGGAGTTAGAGGTGGTTTCCACAGAGTAGCTTTAGAAACATATACCTCTTATTTAGAGGCCTAGAGTGAGATGTGGGCTCTGTCCTCAGCAACAAGACCCTCAGGGCTGCCAGCCCTGCACTCTGCAGGACACTGTCAGGCTGAGTCCTTGCAGCCAGGCGAGGAAATGATTCCTTCTCCTCTCCCAAGCGTGGGCATTATTTGTATTAGTGTTAATGATTTGTGTTGTGTTTGCTAAATAACCAAGGTGAGAAACCTTCCTGGCCTTGGGAGTTGCATTCCAAACCCATCACGTGAGTGGGGCCTGAAGACACCATCACCACCAGTGAGGATGGGGAGAGGGGGAATTGCAGGAAAATGCAGCAAGCAGAAGATGCCAGTGTATTTCCAATGGCAGAGGGGGTCTGGGTGAGCAGCCAGGCTCTGCTGAGGGCAAGCAGTGCTTTGCTGGGTCCTATACCCACGGTGGGGTTTTGGGACCCCCAGCAAAGAAGCCACACATTTGTATAGCTCCAAAAACACCTCCTGGGATGTTCTCCCCATGGGGAGGTTCACTTTGCTTATAAAAAAATCACTGCCTGAAGAAAGGCAAGCTGCCTGCTTCACCATCTGACACAGTGAAGCAGGAGCACTGGGAATGGAGGAAGAGGAAAGCTTGGAGCTTGGGCTGCCGTGAAGAATGCCTGCCCCTTCCTGAGCTGGGATGTTCTCTGGGCTGACCTGCAGAGGGTTTGGATGCTGGATATGCTCCTTTCCCACACTGTACCTGGGACTGGGACTAGATGCTTATTCAGCCTGCTGGGAATGTCAGGCTGCTGAGATCTGCAAAGCCCCCAGAGACACATGGCCTTCCCCTAAGGCAGGACCCTGGGGCAAGATGGATCTCAGCTCAGCACTTTGTGTGGCTAGTGGAAGCAGCAGCAGGAAGGCACGACCCCCCTCCTACCCCAGATGTCTCAGCACCCCTGAGATGTTTTCCATCATGAAAAATGTCAGTGATATTAAAAAGATTATGTCTATCCATAATACTTGAAGGGCTGTCAGTGATTAAAATGGAAGGCAGAGGCCGAGAGAGAGGGGGTGGCATTGAAATGATCGAGAGACATGACTTATTTTGTCATGTCATCTGATGCCTCCCTCTCTTCCCCCAGCCAGGCTCCGGGAGCTGTTCAGAGCAGGGGAAGAACCCGCTCCAAATTTAGATCCTAGCAAAATAAAGAAATTTAAAAAAAAAATAATTTAAAGAACCCAAATTGCGAGTGTGGCCTTGGGTAGCAGAGAGGGAGCTGTGCGGTGGGGAGGGTCGACATCCCTCGGAGCTTCTTCCGCGCCCGGAGACGTGAATTTCTGTCTAAAAATAATGGGGGGGGAGGGAAAAAAAGAAAAAGGAATACAGGCGCGCAGGCAGCAGCGAGCAGCGCCTGGCTGGCTGCCAGGGAAGGGGCAGTGACTGAGCATTTACAGCATCCCCGCCTCCCGCATGCGGCGGGGCAGGGGCTCGGCGCCGCATCCCCCGCGGCCGGTACCGCACCGCACCGCGCCGCGCCGCGCCGGGGGGGCCCGAGCGCCTCTGCCGGTGCCCGGGCGGCCCCGAAGGGGTTAAGCCGGGACCTGCCGCCGGGACCTGCCCAGCCAGCCCGGCAACTCGGCGGCGCGCAGCAGCAGCGGGCGGCTGCGGCCGCCTCCAGCCCGCGCTCACCGGCGGCGGCACCGCGCAGGTAAGCGGGGCTGCGCGCCCGGCACCGGGCTGCGGTGGGGAGGAGGAGGAGGAGGAGGAAGGTTCTGGGCGCTGGAGCATCGCGGGCTGCGGGGGATGCCGGGCCCCGGCGGGCCGCTCGGTGCCGGGACGCCTCCCGGGCCGGGTCGGGCCCCGGCTGCGGCTGCGGCAGCGGGAGCCGGGCCGCTGCGGAGCGCGCTGCGGGGGCCGTTCCGGGTGATTACCCCACAGCAGTCGCTGCTCCTCTCAGCCTCGATTAAGGATGGAGCTGTAAATCCCCCTCCCGGCCCCCCTCCCCTCGCCGGCCCCCTCTGCCCCCCCTGCATCCCCCATCGCTGCCGCTCCCGCTCCAGGCCGCTCCTCCTCGCCCCCTCGCTGCCCCCCGCGCCGGCCCGCGGGCGATGGGGACCGAGCCCCGCAGCCGTGTCCTTCTCCCACCTGGCCACTCTTGGTCAAGGTCACTGCAGTAATTCCATATGAGCTGCTGGGTGCTGCCGCCTTATCTCCCACACGGCTTCTGTTTCACTCCCTTTATATTCCAGGGAGGGGGGGGATGATACTGTGCTTGATAAACCCGCAGCTCTAAACCCCGCTGGCAGCTCCAGCCTCGATTACCTTCCTCTCATCCCTGCCCCAGCCCATGCTTCCCATCTCTTTCCATTCAGACTTCCCAGGCCATCTCATGGCAGGCAAAGTCCAGCTGGGGTCAGGTTTCTGGCCAGGATGAGCAATGCCGAGAGCCTGTCACTGGACCTCGGGGTTTGTCCAGTTAGGAAACCTGTTGGAGGCAGAAGGAACCATCCTGCCTCCTCGGACTGCCAGTGTGCCTGCTGGTGCTTTCCAGGCTGGTGGCACCTTTGGAGAATGTGACTTTATCTCCACCTGGGTGTTGGTGGAAAGCAGAGCACGGAGCCAAGTCCTGGAGGACTTTGCTGTGTTGCTGCCCTTGTCCTGGAGGCGTTTCCGTGCCAGGCAGGCAGTGGCCTGGCCATGGGCTGTCCCGGCGGGATCCAAAGGCCGCGCTGACGGGCTGCATTGCGAAAGGAATCCGTGCAGGGAACCGACTCGAGAGAAACTTTGTCCACCCGCGAGCGTGGCGGTGCCGGGCTCCTCTCTGACTCACGGGAGATGTTGCTGCTGGAGCTGTGGGGCGCCTGGCTGCTGGCCCACAGGAGCAGGAGGTGCTGGACTGGTCATGCGGGTTGTGTGGGACCGTGGTGGGTGCCTGCATGGCTTGTGGGCACATCAGCACAGCCCTGGCCCAGCT